TCATCCTGATGAATTGTTCCTGTTATGAGTATAAAATGTCCCTCTCCATCTCTTCTGATTGATTTAAGTTTGAAGTCAACTTTGTTAGAAATTAGTAGGGCCACACCTGCTTGTTTCTTAGGTCCATTTGCTTGATAAACCTTTTCCCATCCCTTTACTCTGAGTAGGTGCCTGTCTTTGTGGTTAAGGTGTGTTTCTTGTAAACAGCAGAATGTTGGATCCTGTTTTCGTATCCAATCTCTTAGCCTGTGCCTTTTTATAGGTGAGTTGAGTCCATTGACATTAAGTGATATTAATGACCAGTGGTTGTTAACTCCGGTCACTTTTTTAGTAGTAGAGTTTGTGTGTTTCCTTTCTTTGAGTTGTGCTGGTGAAGGGTCTCTAGATGTCTGAGTTATTGTGGTCACTGTTGGACTCCTTGGTTTGTGATTTTCCTTCTATTACTTTCTGTAAGGCTGGATTTGTGGCTACGTATTGTTTAAATTTGTTTTTATCCTGGAAAATTTTGTTTTCTCCATTTATAGTGAGCAAAAGCTTGGCTGGGTATAGTAGTCTGGACTTGCATGCATGGTCTCTTAGTTTCTGCAGTACATCTATCCAGGACCTTCTGGCTTTCATTGTTTCCATAGAGAAATCAGGTGTAGGTTTACCTTTATAAGTAACTTGGCCTTTTTCCTTTGCAGCTCTTAATATTCTTTCGTTATTCTGTATGTTTTGTGTTTTGATTATTATATGGCGAGGAGATGGTTTTTTTTTTTTTTTTTGGTCCAGTCTATTCGGTGTTCTGTATGCTTCTTGAACTTTCCAAGGAATATCCTTCTTTAGGTTGGGAAAGTTTTCTTCTATAATTTTATTAAATATATTTTCTGGACCATTGAGCTGTACTTCTTCTCCTTCTTCTATTCCAATTATTCTTCGGTTTGGTCTTTTTATTGTGTCCCAGATTTCCTGAATGTTTTGTGATGAGAATTTGTTGGTTTTGCTGTTTTGTTTGATCAGTGTGTTTATTTTCTCTATGGTATCTTCAGTGTCTGAAATTCTTTCTTCTATCTCTTGTAATCTGTTGGTAGTACTTGTCTCTGTAGTTCCTGTTCGTTTACCCAGATTTTCCATCTCCTTCCTTCCCTCGGTTTGTGTTTTCTTCATTACTTCCATTTCATTCTTCAAGTCTTGAACCGCTTCCCTTACCTGTTTGATTGCTTTTTCTTGTTTCTCTTGGTTTTCTTGGGTATCTCTGAGTGATTTATTCATTTCCCCTACCTTTTTGTTTGTGATCTCTAATTGTTTATGGCAGTTTTTCACCTCCTGTTTAAGGTCTTCTATTATTTTCATATAATTCACTTTTGAGTCGATTTCTTCTAATTCTTCTAGAGTAGGGTGTACAATTCTTCTTATTTCGGGATCCCTGGATTCTGGTGATGTCATTTTGCCTTTCAGGTTGTTGGAGGAATTCTTGCCTTGGCGCTTTCCCATCTCTTCCTTTAAATGGAGCCAGGAGAGGCCTGGTGTGTTGGTCCAGTCTTTGCTGTGACTGACCCTCTGGGTGTAACTCTTCAGTGTAGAAGCAGAAACTGTCCCTTCCAGAAGGAACTCCTCAGCACCGAAACATAGACGCCTGGTAGTCCAATGACCCGCGGACAAAAGGGACAACTTGGGGGCCAGGGCGGGGATGAGTAGAACACAGGACACTGCTGCAAAAGCTGAAGGTGCGTGTGCTCCCTTTTGGGGGTCCTTGAGGCCTGCCCGGTAGGCAGGCACTCACTGCTCTAGGTGGGTAGCCTTAGTGTAGGAGCAGAAAACTGTTCCTGAGCAAAGGACCTAGCAGAAAACACAGGCTTGTGTTTGTGTGTGGGGTGGGGGGTCATGTGTAAGAAAGACAGCCCTGCAGAAGGAGCTGGGAGAGGAGGGTTTGTGCTCTCTTCCAGGACAATCCGCCCCTGGATAGCACACATTCACCTGTCCAGATGGAACTCCTCAGTACCTGAACAGGGCTGCCTGGTAGCCCGATGATCCGGGGACAAAAGGAAAAATGGGGCAGGCGGGGCGAGATCCAGGAGAGCACAGGCACCCCTGGAGAACAAGCTGAAGGTGCTTGGGCTCCCTTACAGGGGACCTTGAGGCCTGCCCGGTAGGCAGGCACTAACCGCTCTGGGTGGGTAGCCTTAGTGTAGCCATATAATATTTTACCTTTAACTTCTGGTAATGTTTCTAATGCTGTCATCAGTGTTGCATGTGCTCTAATTGGACTATGTAAATATCCTTGTGGCAATCTTTTAAATCTATATTGTTTATTTTGCCACGTAAATGTTGTAATTTCCTGGCTTTCTGGATGCAATGGTATCCCAAAGAACATATCAGTCAAGTCTATTGTTGCTAGCCGTTTTGGTGCATGTTGTCTTACTTGTAGAAAAATATCTTCTACGTCTGGTAGACTAGCTGGCATTCTGGGGGATTTTTCATTAATCCTCCAGTAATCTACTGTAAATCTATATTTTCTATTTGGCTTCACTATTGGCCACACTGGTGAGTTGTAATTAAAAGATTGTGCTTGTTCTATAATGCCCTCTTTTGAAAGAGTCTGGACCGTATCTGAAATTTCAGCCATACCTCCTTTTATGGGGTATTGTGCTGTAAAAGTTGGAGGAATTTTTGGTAATTTTACTGGTTCAATTTTTACTTTCTGCTAAATTTACATAATATTTCCTTATGGACTTGTGATTCAAGAAAAATGGGAATAGTTTATTAATTTCTTTAAATCCCAAAATATTTAGTGGTGCAGAAAAACTAGCTACTTCTATCTTATGCTTAACATCGTAACATCGAATAATTATTTCTGTTACTGGTACTGTCCTTTCTGTATTAACTCCTTGTATTCTAATCTGTTTTTTATTTGTATAATTATCTGTAAATTCTGTGTAGATACTTATTTCACTTCCTGTATCTAAAAGCCATTTTGTTGGTACTTTTTTAACTACTGGCAGGTTTATCATTGGTCTTAGTGGTTGCTGTTCTTGGGTGTGGATTTTGTCTCTGCCACCTGTTTTTCCCCCTTGGTATGGGTATTGATCTGCTCCTGTCTGGTTGCCATCTGTTTTGTTGAATTTGTATGCAAGGACCAGTATTTGCTGGTCCTCTGTTGTGCCCTAAAAAAGGTCTCTGTGGGAATGGTTTCCTTTTTTGTCCTACTACTGCCCTCCATGGGTTCCATGGTTGATTCGGTCTTATGGGCAGCCCTGTTGTAGCCTTTCAAGAGGTTTAATTTTCCTTATATTTTGCAAGAATCCTCTTGGTTTCTTACTGACTGGACTTTATAATCATCCATCTCTCTGAAGTTTTTGAAAAAAAATCTATGGCTTCTGCCACTGTCTGGCAATTTTGAATTGGTCCTGCTGAACTCATTCTGGGGTGTGGTGGTGCTTCCTTAATTATCATTTTCTTAAATTGTGGAGTTAGTGGGGCTGCCTGTGGTGTGTTTGTTTCATTGTATATGAAATACAATATGCCTAATTCTCTTGCCAGCTGTGTATCTTCCTGGTAGGTCGTCCATTTACTTGCTGCTTCAAACTGGGTAAGATCCATAGTAGGGAATGCATGTCTCCAAGCTGCTGTAATCATAGGGGGTGGGTAAGCCGGGGGGCTTACGTCCAAACAATGCTCTAGAGCTTCTGCTATACTCGGATTTTCTACTATATTACGGACTTTCCTCATTTCATGTTCTGTCAACATAACTGTGTCTGCACCTTTTCCCCACAGTTTCACTATCCATGTGGCATCTTTCATGCCATTTTGGGCATATTCTCGTCTTAACTCACTTAACTCCCCTGGAGTAAATGGTCTTAGCTCCTCTACCCGTTCACCTCTGTGTGCTGCAGTATCTTCTATATCTGGTCCATCCCCGATAGGGGTACCCACCATGACCGTCCTTTTAATTTTGCCAATAGGGGAGTCTTTTTTTGTTACTGTACTTACTGGAAAAGAGGGAACGGCTTCAGACTGTGGCTGACTGGCCAGGTCTGCCCTACGTCTGGTAATGTTCAAGGCTAGCCTTTTGCCCGCTAATCTACCTTTATCAATATCTTGTATTGTTTTTAGCAGTATTGCTCTGTTAATTCCATTTTTACGTCTGTTGGTTTCATATACCCTATCTTGTCCTTTGTTATTTTTGCTGTATCACACCATTTTTGTTCTGCCTCTGTTGTTGGTTCTTTTCCTGTTACTGGTGTTACCTTGAGTTTCCTCAATTTTTTGGTTAACTTATTCATTTTAGTAGGTCCTATCTGCCAACCAATACAGAAATTTAATATACTTCTTTCCTATATACCACGTAATATTTGGGGGATTTTTCTTATTTATTAATTTTTCAAATTCTAAATCTGCCTTCCTTTCTATTCCTTTACTTAGCCAGTGACTCATGAACTCTGAGGTTGCACAGAAAATCCTTTTTACTCGTGAAGCTGACTACGCCAATCTGTTACAAGCTCAGGGACTTCAGCTCCAGGTTCTTTTCGAGTAATATCTATGAGGACTCTCTGCCCTTTCTCCCCAGAGAGTGGTGAGTAACCAGACTAAGCAAGAGAATTGTTTTTCTAATGATTCTTTACTAGCAACTTCAATATCCAATACATCAATGGGGGATTCAATCTTAATAGGCATGGGGGACTAATAATGGGCAACACACAGGCAATTCAATATCACAGTTATTAATCCTACTAAAACTAATACATAAAACCAATTCATAACCTTAATCTAACTTATCACTTATTCATAAAACACTTCTTAACCTTAACACAACTTATCCACTACTTATCTTGACCTTATTACAACTTATCCATTAAGTATCTATAAAACCCTCCTTAACCTTAGCTTATCCATTAATATTTCTTAATCTTATCAATTACCCATAAAATATCTCTTAACATGTCACACCCTAAACATATGTATTAACACATCCATGCTCTTCTCTTAACCTCTAATACACACATGAAATAGCATCATACGACCTGATATTCCCTGGCTTCAAAAGGGCTTTTTGAATTTCTTCAGGCTGGGCTCTTGTCCGCACTGGGGGCTGGGTAGCGAAGATTGACTCTTGACCCCGAGGTCTGCGCTCGGGAGATAAGGTCCTGATGGGCCTTGGACTCGGCTTTCGGGTGACCGAGTCTCGGGGAGACAAGGGTTTTAGTTCTCTACTCTCGAAGAAGAGGCTTTGCTCTCGGGATGGCAAAGCGTTCTGTCTGCTCAGAAGATGAGGCTTTGCTTTCGGGATGGCAAAGCCTTCTGAAAGGCAGAGTATCTAGTCTGTTCTCGGGAGACAGACCTTCAATGTCCACTCTCAGGGAATGAGGATTTGCATTCGGGATGCAAGGCGTTAAATGTCTGTTTTCGGGAGACAAAGCTCTGTGCTCGGGAGACAGAGCGTTAAACGTTTAGGCAAGGCATTCAATATTGCTGCTTTTTGGGAGGCAGGCTAGGAGGATCTCTCTTTCCACGGAGGCCTGGTGCCAGAGCCATTGTGAGAAGTGAGATAACCGGCCTGCTTCAGCCACCTCTTTTAAGTCAGTTCAAAATTGCGGGGAAGGCAGGGGACCGGGGATTATGGGAAACCGAGTTCCCTGTGCATTAGGCCCATTCACGGACTATAGGCAAAATGGCGGCCGGAGGGAATCATGGGAGACTTAGTCCAGAACCGGGAACCGGCTCCAGGAGCCTCCACGAGCCTCCACCTCCCCTCTCCCCCACGACCCGGGGAAGCGCCCACGCCGCGGGGGGACCCGACGTCCCTCCCCCGGTTCCCCAGCCGCAATTAGTACCCACGAGTCAGCACTGACAAGCACTGAGACACAAGTCTGAGCCCCGGGGACCAGGAACCAGGGCCCTGGTGATGCCCCGCCCCTGGTGCCGCCCTCCCCTGGCTCCTACCCCAGGCCGCGCCCCAGTCCCGGCCCCCAATCCACTGGAGACCGGCTGGGAAGCACGGAAGACAAGCCCCCTCCGGCAGGCGGCAGTGGGGGCTGCGGGTCACAGGCGGCGGTTACTCTGCTCTTTTACCCGCTTTTCTCTTAATATTTCACCTTAGTAATATTTCACCTTTATTTATTCGTTCAGAGGAATCTGCCTCCATTCTCATTACATTCCATCCCCTGACTCCTGACATGTTGTCAACATTAAAGGAGTCACTATGAGGCTCGCTAGCCTGAGGATTTACATAGGCTATTGGTTGCCTTCTATATGCTATGTAGGCCATCTGGTCATTTACTGATCTTAAATTCAGGTGTGCATGCTGGTATACTCGGTAGGGTGCGTCCTTTATGGCAGTTTTGTGTGCACTTTATGGGCATGAAGCTAATAACCCTGCAATTCCTACTCTTCCATGTTTTATATCTATCATATCAATCCAAATAAGCGCGATATTCAAAAAGCATATCTTCTAAAAATGGTTTTGATATTGCTCTGATGCAATAACTTTCTCAGCTCTTAGGTGTATGAATTCTATCCAGTTTACTCATTTCACTATACCAGTCTCCTTCTAGTAATGCAAATGCTCCCCAATCTATCATGTCTTATCATACTTCTGATTAATTCATAATGTGTATAACTTCCTTTGCTAAGAAAGCAACTGACTAAACTAGCTAAGATATGAAGCATATGATCAAATGGGTGTTTATGCACTCTTTCTTTCACTCCATGTTTCATGTGCCAAACTATATGATTAAGTAAGCATGCCATCAAATCTTGCTTAATACTCATAGTTCCTAAAAACATCATATTTACTCTTAGAAAAATGACATTTATCTCTATCTATCCCTCTATCTATTCCCATTCTATCAAACAAGTCCACAAGTGCACTCCAGTGTTTATTATAATAATGTCAAATTACCCTTCTAATACCTCCTTTAGCTAGTAGGTCCAAATTCCTTTTAGAGGGTCCGTTTCTTCCCACTGTGGCACCTTAAAAAGAGTAATGCAATCTTTATGCCTACACGGGCCATTAATATACTCATTACTATCCTTGCTGCCTCTTTGATCATTGCCCACCATGTTGGGAATGGTGTGCATATGAAATCTAATTGTATTAGTCTAGCAATATAATCAAAAAAACTGCACTGTCTTGTCTTTTTAATCCAATCTTTATGTATATATGTATTGGCTCTTAATACTCCAACTATATTATGCAACTTATCTTGGTTGTATGCTAGGTTGGAATCCTATTTCTGCATAGTTTTATGTATGCTATCAAATTGTTTCTGGTTAAATTCAGCTATCTCCTGTATTTTTATCATTGCTTTTACATAATTATTGTAGTGATCTCTCTCTGTTTTATCATCCCATATGAATTGTCCTTTCATTACGTGGTGTTCCTCATAAGATAATGGAGTCACCATCTCTTGTCCTTTCTCAGTTGTTACTACAGAGCAATTATGTAGCACCCAGCATCCTCTTGTTATGTTCTGTTGTGCCTTCCTGGTAATTTGTACAATTTATTATTGTGTTTTTATTTGCACAAATCAACCATGTATAATCCCCTGTGTTTGTTATTGTATCTGTCATTATTGTTGGTGTAAGTCTTGTGGTTTCTATTTCATGTTTTGGTTCATGTGGGCATACATATGTGCTAAGACTAAGATGGAAGCACTCTTCTATTGGAATATATACTGGTGTATATATGAAGTTTTAGTAACTTCTCTGCTTTTACTGTTACATATGGCTAACTTTCCTCTGTAAAATTTCTTATATAACTTGTTAAGTATATTGTGCTGGCTATTGATGTATTTTTCGCTATTACTGCTAGATGGCCATGTGTATCATTAATATATACAAAGGCGTCAGTTATATTCATCTTAATATCTTGTGTATTAGCTACACCTGTTGTCATATTGTGATTTTTTTCGATACAAGCCCATACCAAATCATGATGTGATGTCTCATTATGCTTATCCATTGTTATAGCCAAATAGCACCTATGGGTTGCAATTTTACAAATAAATCCTATAGATTCTTTGTATCTATTCATATGCCATGGTTGTGGAATTACAGATGTTAATACTAGTGGGAACCTCCAGTGTTCCACAGCTGTCTTTAAGAACTTTTTCCATGTTTCCCATTGCCATTTTTCATTGCTTTCAATATATGGATACATATTTTGCAAAACTACTGTTTTACCATTAATTGTTGTATTGTATGTTCTAGGTAATTTCTCCAAACTGTATCCTACTGGTGTAATATTACCAAACCATGGTAGATTAGGAAGATCTGTTAGACACAGGAAATTTGCTGTTTTTTTTTAATTTATTTATTTATTAAAGATTTCTGTCTCTTCCCCGCCACCGCCTCCCATTTCCCTCCCCCTCCCCCAAATAAGTCCCCCCCCCCCTCAGCCCGAAAAGCAATCAGGGTTCCCTGTCCTGTGGGAAGTCCAAGGAACCCCTACCTTCAACCAGGTCTAGTAAGTTGAGCATCCAAACTGCTTAGGCTCCCACAAAGCAAGTGCGTGCAGTAGGATCAGAAACCCATTGCCATTGTTCTTGAGTTCTCAGTAGTCCTCATTGTCCTCTATGTTCAGAGAGTCCGGTTTTATCCCAGGCTTTTCCAGACCCAGGCCAGCTGGTCTTGGTGAGTTCCCAGTAGAACATCCCCATTGTCTCATTGTGTGAGTGCACCCCTCGCGGTCCTGAGTTCCTTGCTCGTGCTCTCTCTCCTTCTACTCCTGATTTGGACCTTGAGATTTCAGTCCTGTGCTCCAATGTGGGTCTCTGTCTCCTTTCATCGCTTGCTGAAGGTTAATATTCAGGAGGATGCCTATATGTTTTTCTTTGGGTTCTCCTTATTTAGCTTCTCTAGGATCACTAATTATAGGCTCAATGTCCTTGGTTTATGGCTAGAAACCAAATATGAGTGAGTACATCCCATGTTCCTCTTTTTGGGTCTGGCTTACCTCACTCAGGATAGTGTTTTCTATTTCCATCCATTTGCATGCAAAATTGAAGAAGCCCTTGTTTTTTATTGCTGAGTAGTACTCTAATATGTATATATTCCATACTTTCTTCATCCATTCTTCCATCGAAGGATATCTAGGTTGTTTCCAGGTTCTGGCTATCACAAACAATGCTGCTATGAACATCGTAGAGCATATACTTTTGTTGTATGATAAGGCCTCTCTTGGGTATATTCCCAAGAGTGGTATTGCTGGGTCCAGGGGTAAGTTGATCCCGAATTTCCTGAGAAACCGCCACACTGCTTTCCAAAGTGGTTGTACATGTTTGCATTCCCACCAGCAATGGATGAGTGTACCCCTTTCTCCACAACCTCTCCAACAAAGGCTATCATGGGTGTTTTTTATTTTAGCCATTCTGACAGGTGTAAGATGGTATCTTAAAGTTGTCTTGATTTGCATTTCCCTGATCGCTAAGGAAGTTGAGCATGACCTTAAGTGTCTTTTGGCCATTTGAAGTTCTTCTGTTGAGAATTCTCTGTTCAGCTCAATGCCCCATTTTATAATTGGGTTGGTTAGCCTTTTACGGTCTAGTTTCCTGAGCTCTTTATATATTTTGGAGATCAGACCTTTGTCAGTTGCGGGGTTGGTGAAGATCTTCTCCCAGTTAGTGGGTTGCCTTTGTGTCTTGCGACAGTGTCCTTTGCTTTACAGAATCTTCTCAGTCTCAGGAGGTCCCATTTATTCAATGAGGTCCTTAATGTCTGTGCAGCTGGGGTTATACGTAAGAAGTGGTCTCCTGTGCCCATGTGTTGTAGAATACTTCCCACTTTCTCTTCTATCAGGTTCAGTGTGTTCGGACTGATAGTGAGGTCTTTAATCCATTTGTACTTGAGTTTTGTGCATGGCGATAGATATGGATCTATTTTCATTCTTCTACAGGTTGACATCCAGTTTTGCCAGCACAATTTGTTGAAAATGCTCTCTTTTTTCCATTGTATACTTTTAGCTCCTTTATCGAAAATCAGGTGTTCATAGGTTTGTGGGTTAATGTCAGGGTCTTCTATTCGATTCCATTGGTTGACTTCTCTGTTTTTATGCCAATACCAAGCTGTTTTCAATACTGTAGCTCTGTAGTAGAGTTTGAAGTCAGGGATGGTAATGCCTCCAGACGCTCCTTTGTTGTATAAGATTGTTTTGGCTATCCTGGGTTTTTTGTTTTTCCATATAAAGTTGATTATTGTCTTCTCCAGATCTGTGAAGAATTTTGATGGGGATTGCATTGAATCTATAGATTGCTTTTGGTAGAATTGCCATTTTTACTATGTTGATCCTCCCAATCCAGGAGCAAGGAAGATCTTTCCATTTTCTGGTGTCCTCTTCAATTTCTTTCTTCAAAGACTTAAAGTTCTTGTCAAATAGATCTTTCACATCCTTGGTCAGAGTTACCCCAAGATATCTTATGCTATTTGTGGCTATCGTGAAAGGTGATGCTTCTCTAATTTCCCTCTCTGTTTCCTTTTCCTTAGTGTATAGGAAGGCCACTGATTTTTTGGAGTTGATCTTGTATCCTGCCACATTACTAAAGGTGTTTATCAGTTGTAGGAGTTCTTTGGTAGAGTTTT